ATGAAGGAATCTAGATACTGATTTTAAGTCTTAAAACATTTTCAAAACTTGTGGTTCACTGCATTCTTGTTTGTGCAGTCTGAGGGTAGCAGGAGTATTGTAATGAAGGGCACTGGTTATTGTGGTTGACTGAAGTTTCCTGGCCATTTCAGAAACACACATAAACACACAGCTGATGTTTTGTCCCAACAGACCAAAGGGAGCAATGGAAAAGCCTTTGTGAGGCACTGTCATGTATAATTGGCCAGAACTTGAAAACAGCACTGTTATCCAACTGCTGGACATTACATCAAGATATATGTAACTTTGGTTGAAATAGGGTTATCATGTTTTAACCCATGCTTGGTTGTGTTATTACTGAACAAAAAAGAATCTTTATGTGTGTTCCTTGAGCTCTATGGTCTTGGGGATCGTCCTTTATATGCAATGTCAACTGTAGCATTTGTTGCTGTAACTAAAGGTAAACACCTTTACTTTGTAACACAGACTAATTGGTTTGGAAATATTTATGAAAGTGCTGATTTTTAAAGTTAAAAATAGTGCTATGGCTTTTAAAACTCATTCTGGCTGTCAAAGTGCTCACATGATCCTGAAAGTGTTGCTAAAAATGTTCAATTTATAAATATGGTAATTAAAATTGTCTGTTGTGAGAGCAGTAGATGAGACATTTCCTGCATTTGTAAACTAACCATCCCCTTCACTCCCAGGTTTCCTTGCATCTGACTGTTTATGTTGGTAGGATCTGAACTCCCACTGAACCTTCTTGGAAGAAGGTTTGCTGTTGTCCAAGTAGGGGGAGTGAGCTCTGCAGCCTGCCACCTTTCTCCCTGACCACCTGCTTTAGGGTTTGGATGTCTTTCCTTTGTTTTAAAAAGTCGATGCCCTCAGGGAATACAATACTGTAAATTGGAACTTTGGTCATACGTTTACTTTTAACTTCATTGTTAAAAGAAAGTTTCAGATAAAGCTACTTTCCTTTGGGTATGCTGGACTGCTTCAGTCCTAATTTGAGTATATACTGTGTGTATTTATTTCCTTCAAGTTTATTGTTAGTGTTTAGTGACCATTTTATACTCCAAGTATACCCTGCACTCAGGATTTTCTCCAGTTGTTTATGTAGACTTCCTGTTCTCTAAAGGTATCTAGTTCTGAGATTTGTCTCATTTTGGTTATTGTTTAATAAGATTTTTTTTTCCAAGAGGATGGTTTTGCTACATAGCTTTTCTAGAAGTGCTATATTTGCGATTTTATACTACCTGCAAACTTACTACTTAAGAATAGTATTCTGAGCCTATCAGGTACAATTTGAGGCTATTTAGGACCCTTTTATGGCCACTGGTGGCCCATGAATATTTCTAAAGCTGTCTTACTGGACTAGGTGATATAGTTCATTCTTGCATGAACGTGCACAATTTTCCTGCAGAAGAACCTCAGCAAAATATTTCTTTTTTGCTACAAAGATAATGCAAAACTACACCATACCTAGAGTTTAGGTATAGGTTAGAAAACAGATCTGGTGCAGATTTTTTTAAGATATGAAAGTCCAGGTTTTCTAGGTTGCGATGAGAGTGAGAAAACTGAGCAATGGGGCTGGGCAGTAGCCTGGCTGTCAGGGCAGCCATATGCTCTGTTAGCTGCTCAGGGCTGCTCCCTTTGAAATAAAAACAGTTGTCTTCACTGTTTGTAGTCAATTCTGTCTCTCCTTCTCTCTCTTTCTAGCCAGAAAACAATACTTTAATGTCTCTGTCCAAAAGTGCCACTATTGCTTTTTTTGTCCCGACATTTTGTGTTTTTTATGAAATAAGCATTTTCAAAAATTAAAGAAAAAACAGAGAATTTCTTATGCTCCCTAATCTCCATAAGACCCATGACTGATTCCAGGATATTTGTTGTTGGGGTGAATATATCTATGCAGACTGTTGAATTGAGAAGACTCTGCATGTTCACAGAGTAGAAAATGTTACTGGTATGTACTTTGTCACTCTTTCAACTCTTACACATACACATTTACCTAATTTGAGAGCTGTCACATAATGAACATGAGATTCTCAAGCTTTTGGGTTACATTTGTTTGCAGAGGACTCTTATTTAATAGGATCTCTCTCTTCTGCTTCAGTTCTAATTTGAAGAACATGCTTTTTGCAGCACTAAGAAGAATTGCCTAATTCAAATTATCGTTATGTAAATAAATTAAAAAACTTCCACTGTTCTTAGATGCATATGCTTTCTTGGCTTTTGTTTTTACCACACTATTTTGCATTTTATTCCTAAGCGAAAACTGCAATTCTGCCACTGTAAATCTAGTACACTGTCAGCTGAATTTGAGTCAAGTTTTGGGCGTCAGTGTCATTAATTCTGCTACTATTAAAAAACTGACAATCAGTCTGTAAAATATGAACAAGAGATTGAGAATTTTTGTATGTATTGGATCGTTGTCTTCTAATAGTGTCTTTCCTCTTGTGCATTGTTGGTTTGCTGTCATTCTGCTAGTTGGACAGGAGATGATCTGTTTAAATTTACAGTGCTTCTAATGAAATGCTCAAGTATGAAAGGAATTTGTCCATTTGTAGTGATTGTTATGTGACTGGAGCTCTAATGTCATTCTCAGAGCTCAATTGTAATTTCAGTGTTATGGTTCATGTTCCCTTGATCAGTTAAGACTTTAAATACATCCGGCTTTGTGTTTACTGGCTTGAGCATGTGATAAGTTGTGATGTGTGTGAGCACTATATGCCTTCAAATGAAAACAGGCAGTGGCATGCAGGATGGGGGCTGTGACACTGAACTTCCCCCATGGCATTTCTGAAGTCCCTCAGCGCACTGCTGTCCAGCTGAGGAAAAGGTAACTTATCTTTAGGAGCTTTTACCCTTAAATAAATTTTAAAATGCCCAAACAAACATTAAACAAACAAACACCTAAAAAACAGCTGTAACTGCAGTTATGGACTCCAGACTTCATCCTCTAATTCCTCACAGAAGTTTTATCTTGTGGAATGATGAACATGTAGAAATGTGGGACTGTCGGGCACCTCACAAGGCTGGATCACTGTTTTCTGACAAAAGAATGAATGTGCCTTGAAACATTTGTGACATGTTTTTAAATCAATTTCTGAAGACGTCTACTGAAGGTCTGATACCCTTGGTATCTCTAATAATTCTGTTATCCAACTTCAAGACACTTTTTGCTGGTCTGATCTTTAGCAGGAAACCAAGCTTGTTGGTTGACATCTTTTTGTAACAACCTCTTACTTATCTTGGGAGGCAGCTGTGCTCTTACCAATGTTGTGCTGTGTCACTAAACAAATCTAATTCCTAGCATGAGATTAGACTTGTTGATCAAAAAATGGTTCCTTGTGGTTTAAAGCCTGTGACTCAATTAACAGAAACATGAGATGAGATTGTGTTCTGAACATCAGTGTTTGTCATTACTGTGGAATCAGTCCCCCAGGGAAATGGAGATGGAGGAGAAGTATGGATGTAACTCCCAACAAGAGCAACAGTAAGCAACGCCCAAAAATAGAGAAATAATGCAGTTTATGCAGACTTGTGTAGACTGCAAGGGAGGCTTTAAATAGCAAAACAGTTCTGAGGCACAAGTAGCAACTACTCTGTCTTGCACTGAGCAGCACTGTGTTGCAGGCAGTGTCTGGACGAAAAGAGAGTATAGTTAATTCACAACCCCAAATCTGCTCATGGCTTGGTTATTTTGAGCCTTCCAAAAAGCAGAGCCTTTCTAGCACCAGTGTTTTTATTGGTTAGCTAAAGGAGGTTAGCTTCGTTGGGAGCATTATTGTTAAGAGATTTGTCTGCTTCTGGCATCTGTTGCTACCAAGGCGCTATCTTTTTTCAAAATGAAGTCAACATAAAAGGGCTGTGTGAGATTTCTGTTGCTAACTCACTGCTTGAGGTTGAGTTCCTGATTTATGAGGTTAGTATGGAATATGCTTCATATAACAAGAATTGCTCCTTGACATGTGGTTCCACTGTGAAAAGTGATTGGAAGAGATGGCACATACTCAATACACATTTTTAAAAATAGTTCTTCCATTAGTGACAGAAGTTTGCTTTCAGTGAGCTATATTGGTCTTGTGGTGGAAGCCAAGTCTGTTGGCTTGTGCTCTTATTAACACACAAAGAGAATTGCTACCAGTGTTACAGGTGCAAAAGCAGTGTGTGAACCAAAAGTGGATCCAGCTTGATTTATATTCCAAAGGTTTGTTTGCAAGGCTGGTCATGATTCTTTTTTAAAATGCAAAGCAACCCACTCTTGCCCTCAACTCTCTTGGTACTTATAAACTGGAAATAAGCTCTACAAATCTTTGAGGGACTGAAAACACTATCTTTCTGAGTAGAGCCATCTTTTGAGAAAAATTGGAAGTTTTAATATACAGTGTAGAGCTTTTACTGAAAATTAAATTATCTATCTAGTTGGCTTTGTTCTTTGGAATTAATTTATACCATTGCTACCTTTTGCCTTGAGTCAACTTGATATGGCAAGTATATACACTGGAAAACTGTACCACTGCAACAACAGAAAAATAATGATTAACTTTAGGCTTTATCTAGTTAAGATCAAGCTCTCAATTGAATTCTTTTAGTGTGTTGACAGCTGAAGATTTATGTCTTCCAGCTATATTCCTGTTGCAGAGTTGGCAGAAGTGACCTCTCCAAAGAAGGTCTTTGTTACGGATTTTGCTCTGTTTACGTTATTGCCATAAGGGTCTCAATGAAGTACAGTACATTAAAGCTAATATATCACCTGCTGACAGTGGTCTTATCTCATTGGTACCTCTTTCCATCTTCCAGCATGGAAAAAATGCAAACATTAAGAGTCTAAGGATCACAAAAATAAAGTTAAATAATAGTTTTCAAGAGCTTTAGCATTAATGTCAGGTCCCTGTGTGCACTGTATTTTTGTGTCTGGTCAAATGGTTACATAATTTATTTTTCTGTGAAGTTACTGTGAAAATATGTCTTTACCAGATAAATGCTACTAAGGGATGGAAAGAGCAGAAGAAACCCCATTGGGTTTATTCAAGGTCTGTGGAATCCATTGTGAGAAAGGAGGTGGCTCAGGATGGGAGAGAGAGATTGATATTCAGGTTAGGCAGACAAGGAAGCAGTACCACAAGCTTTTCCAGTGGAAGCACGGTGGGACTCTGGTGTGAGGAGCAGGACTTTAGATACCCTCCTGTTCCTCAGAATGCTGTGTCCTGTGTACTGCATACAGAATGACTCTTTCAGTCCTCACTGTCAGTGAGATGATGCTACTTATGATTTGTTTTCTCTTCCAAATAGTCACTTAAAAATACAAATACAGCCATTGGTCTCTATGCATAAACATGTATGTAGTTTCAAAATGTGCTTTGAAATCTCTCAACAGGGTGCTTCCCAGGTGTCCTTTCAGGATGGGGAGATGAACCTCAGTGGACCCACAGAACTTTTGTTGGCTCAGAGGGCCCGGCTCCCTGTCAGGTAGGAACATCTGTTTGGTGCTGACTCAAGTGTGGTTTATCAACATGCCAGACAAGACTGACTTCTCATTCCAGCTGCACCTGTGAATCTACATTGTGCTCATCATCATCTCGATCTCTTCCTTCTTGTCCCTTTCCCATCCTAAAAATGTAATCAATTCACATACTGAAGCACGTATTTGTGCATGACAGTCTTTTACCCTTGTTGATGAATATGAATGATTTTATTGTCGTGTTTGTAGTATAAGGCTAAGGGGGAAATACAGTACTAATGTATACTCAGTAGTTTTACTTTCTACTCAGTCATGCACGTATTTAATGTCTTAACGTAGAGGATGTTCTTAGGTAATATATTATATCTCAATAAATAACCAGTCAGCTGAGCCATATAATCATAAAATGATCTTTTTCAGTTAAAATGTCACCTCTAGTTTTGAGTGGTAAGGTTATTACTTTGCTGTATCCTGTAGTAGATTTTATGTCTCTGTACACCGTGAAAACTGTAGCCAATATTTGCAATATTTCCCTGTGCATTGCCTCACTGATAGAACATATTTTTTTCCTCTCTTCATTTATAACAAACCAGAGAGAGCCAGTGCTGTTATAACTGAAGATGGTAGTGGTCACACTGATAGTTTGGGTAGTAACTTTTATTTTGATCTGTCTAAATTTTGAGTGAAATGTAGGTAAATGTATAATTTGCATTGAAAGCCAATACAGTAAAATTTGAGAGCTGCATAGCTGAAACAAGAGGAAACTAGATGTTCTCAAGAGGTTTAATAATGATCTTTGAGGTTTATTGTTCCTGAAATCACATGGAAAATTCTAAATGACTGAAATGAAGAAAATGATTTTGCAGGTTATATTCATTACACTAAAATTAACAAGTCAGGCTGCAATACAGTGTCACAAAGTAGGTAGTCAGATGCTCGGTGGTGGTAATAGAGGATTGAACTTGGCAAATTTAGAGCAAAATATTTCCATGCTGCTATTCTCCTGTCCCACCATAAGCTTAAATTTCAGTTTTGACTGACGCTTCAGGTTCTGCTGAAGTTACCTTTTTGAGTAGGCAAAGGATTTCAGTCCTTTGTCCAGTACGTTGTTTGTTGCAGAACTGTAGTGGTATTATAGCACATTGTACAATGAGATCAGGAAGTGTTATATGGCACACTTCTGCATGACAGCTAAAATGTTAAAAATTAATTTGTTTCAATTTTGATGATAGCAAATAATAATTCGCTATGATTTTGAAGCTTATAGTTGTTTGTCAAAACAGTGTAAAATGAAAACCATGAAATAAACAGTGTCTGAATGCCTTAATCATAAAGCATTTATCCTCACAAACACTTGAGAAAGACCAAGTGTTAATATTCTCATTTTACTTGTGGGGTCTGGGAAAGAGGCATAAAGTTATGTCCTCAAAGCCTGTGGGGATGTTGAAAAGAGCAGGGACTATAACCTTGGTGGTCTTCTGGGCCATACCAGGATTTTGGTAGAAGGATTACCTTTCATTTCAGAGCATGTAAAAAATTAGTCTTTTCTGTGCAAGAGAGTTAATTTCTTAGTTTTTTTCTTGTTCTTTGAGTCATTGTTTCATTTCTTTTATGGGGGATTTTTTCATCTTGGTGAGGTTGTGCTTTTCAACTCATCTGTCTTCTTGCATTTTTTCTCACTCTTGGAGGCCTCCTTGTCACCTACTTTATATGCTATTTTGTAGTTTCTTTTCTTACCTGTTGGTACTGATACGTATTTTTAGAATGGTCTCATCACGAAAAGCAACTGGAGTGCTCTTCCAGCTTTCTCTGCACCTGCCGGGCCTCTAAGTTACTAGCTGATTAGTGTTCATCATGAAGGTATAGAACTTAGTTTAGTTGCTAATGCTTATTTTCTCGTTATGGAATGTTGCTAAAGACTTCTACAGCTTGTTTCACCTGAGGTAATTATTATGCATCACCAAATATATGCACTCATTTGTCTCTCGATCCGTTAATTTGTAATGGGGATTAATCAAGCTCTGTGCATGCTATGCTCATATTTACTGTTGTCCTTATGCTTTTACTGGGCTGTTTTAGATCATCTAAGTCCTACTAGGAATTTTCTGAGAGCATATTATTGTTTATCATGTTAAACAAGTCGTTGCTTGCATTTGGGGTGCTTCAGAAAAAGGTTGTGGTATTAGTTTCCTTTTAATCTTCATAAGCTGATTTTGGTGTCCATTGAAAACGCTGACTGAGAAAGACCTCTTATACTTTTCAGAGGTATTCAGTTTTCTGAAAGGGCCAGATCTTTTCTGGCATGTCACAAAACAGTCAATCATAAGCCTAGATTTCTGTAGATCTCTGAGGGTTTTTGTTGAATTCTGCAAACTGTCTTGGCAGAGGAGTATGGAAGCAAAAGTGATAAAGAATATAGATTGGGGCCCACCCAACTGATGCCTGAGCACCTGAGTGTTGAACAGATAAGGAGCAGAGGGAAAGCTGGCCAGAACAAGGTATTTCCAAGAACCTTTCTGCATTGGTTGCAGTTTTTTTGGAGATGAAATGCGTTGTCTTAATCTGGATTGAGATTGATGCATTAATGAGAAACACGGGCCAAAAGTAACCTCCAAAACACCAAAATAAGAGAAAGGAGCAGTGTTTCTTTAAATGCAGAGTCCCGTGAAATAATTGTACCAAAATATACCTCACTTGTGCTTCCTGTGTCCTGAGAAGATTTTTAAAAACACTATTTTGCCTGCAAGTGTTGAGAGGAGTGGTATGAGGATTTTCCCTCAAAATTGTGAATTATGTTCAAGTATTTGTAATATATTCCAATTTCTTCAAACAGCAAACTTAGGAGGAATTCAGAACACGTTATTTTGTAAAGCAAAGTTAGTTTGTATGTCTGTGAAATTCACCGGAATTTCAAAAGTCAAAGAATTTAAATTTTAAGGCAATTATTTTTATTCTTGTATGGCTTTTTCATTAAAAGTGAAGACTGTGTTTTAGGGGTTTTTTAAACTTTTTTTTCCAAAAATTTTTTCATTAGGAGTAATAGGTTTATAAAGGAAAATAATGAGTTACTATAGACCATCTGGCTATCTTACTGGTATCTTAAATTGATTGAATATAACTAAATATTAAATAATAAAAACATTTTTACCAAAAGCAGTGAAACTAGTGTCTCAGTATCTAATTTGAGTCCTTTTACACTGTTCTTTCTGAAAGAAAGTCTTATTTGTAATTCTTATTTGTGCAGGTATCTTTCATGTTATATTTCAAAGATGTTAGGGGCCGTGAAGGACCACAAAGTCATGATACCTTAAACCTTCATTTAAATAAGCCATGTTAAGTTAAGTGATGTTAATGAAGCTAATATTTCGGCCTAATTGTGAGCTACTTCACGCTATGGAGGAAAGAAGAAAACCACTATTGTCCCTGCTGCTTTCACTAGAAAGTATTTCTTCCTGTCACTGAGTTTGGTAATCATTATGACCTATAGCACTTTAACAAATTAGCAGCTAATCACCTAAGAAAACTATTTGAGCCTTCTCATCAGAGCACCAACCTGTCTGAGGTCAGTGTCCCTTCTCTAACTGCAACCAATAATGGGTATTTCAGAGGGAAGCAGCAAAAAAGAATAGCATGATTAATATTTTATGATTATGAAGGCTAGCCAGTTGAAGTTAAAGGCTTCCAACTTTGCTTGTTTTGTATTTCTCATTCAAGTAGGAAAACTATTCTGTTTGAAGGAAATCAGTTTCCTGATTTAAATACATAAAATTAGTTGCACATTGGGTAAATGAAATCAGTGGCTGTGTGAAGGATTTTTAGCTCCTCTATTCAGAAGCTAATAGGAAGGAAGTTTCTTTGCCTGAATTCTCTTAAAACATTTCACTGTAAAAGTACTGGGAAACTTTTTCAGGACTGTCCGTCAGGAGTCTGAAAAATTTAATTTGATGTTTTGAGAGTTAAACTTCGCTAGAAGAGAGACTTGAAACATTGGGTCATTGGCACGGTTTTTAATGGAACAAATAAAGACAGGACTAAGGACAATCCTCTTGGAATTTCTGAAGGTGGATTTTTTTATTTTGGATTTGCTAGTAAAGAATAAGGGAAGCCAAACTAATGCCATCAATGTGTAAAATTTAGTATTTTTCCTTGCTCTATCCCCTTCGTGTTCTGGACTAGGACTGAAAGATTTTTAAAGTAACAGCAGAGTGTTGCTACTCTACAGAAGTCAAATAGAAATTTGTCACAACCTTTAACATTGAATCCCTTAGCACACTATGCATAGTAATACTGGTTTTGAAAACCTTGCTTTTCTTAGTAAAAATGAGTGTGTTAAGGAACAGTAAACATGAATCTGTTTGGAAGTGGATGTTTAGCTTAATAACAGTGGATTAGTTGGAACTCAAGGGGTAATTTATGCATAGATAATTCATTACATTTTTTCATTATGTTCTGTTTTGCTATATGCCCACTTCTTTCTAGCAGAGGTCAGGGTCAGTTCCTTGGTTTAAGTACTGTAGATACACAATTAAAGCATAACTGCAGTGGTTTTTTCCTTCTTCATATTTTACTTTTTTTTTAACCTTCTATGTCTTTCATTAGTCTAACAACACAGAAGTGGAACAACTTGATTTAAAGAAAAAAGACACAAAAACCTGGTGTCTGCAGGTTGTCTGGTTTCTGTCTGAACCTTTAGACAGTTAATCTCATGAGAACTAACTAATTTTAGTGGGGGGGAAATCTGGATTACAATAGCATCTTTACTAGATTAACACATTTTTGTTACAAGAGGGTGATTGATTACCTTTTCAAACATGAAACTGGAAGATTCTGACATTATTTATTAGTAAATATTTAAACTTTGTGGGTAGTTTGTTTAGTTTTAGTAGAATGGAGCAGCTGAAATGTGCTTGTCTCTTCTAGAAGAGGGTGACATTTTTTGGAAGGTCAAAGTGCCTTGGAAATCCAGGTCCTGCTGCAAAACTCCAAAATGTTTCTTTCTGGAGAGAGGTCCCTTTTAAGTATCTGTGTGCTCAGTGGTTGAAATTGATTCTTCAGTATTATTGGATAGTTTGCAGAGAAGCTTTCACCTACCAGATCTTTTCTCATGGCATAACTGACAAACTGCTAATTCTTGATACAGTTTTCAGGAGAGGGAGCTATAGTATTCAACAGTAAGGGCACTGCCAATCTGAAGATGAGGCTGATTCACCACTGAATATGCACTGCTGAATGTGCAGCACTCCATTTACATTTTTGCTTTCCATCTTACAAATGGACTGCTGCACATGCTCACTACACACACACACATACATCTTCACTATCTCTCTCTTTGCTAAACGGTACTCATCAACATTTTTAATGATATGCGTGGCAAGCATCCTGGCAAATGTGATAGACTGTAAGGAATCTGGCAGAAATCAATAAACATCAAGCAATGAAGAATTTAGAGTAAATGATGACAGCTTCTTCAGGTTAAAAATCAATAGTACAACGTTGAACGTGGTCCTCGAGGCCACAATCAGGTCAGGCTAGGCAGGTGTTATCTCTTCACTGAGACCTCTGAGGCACCTTTAGTGCAGCGAGGGGGGGGAGATGCCAGGATGCATTTGAAGAAGCTTGAGTGTTGTGTTTCTAGTTGGGGTGAATCCTGCAATTCAGATAAATCTCCCTGAGATAAACACTTTTTATAAGTTCACTTATTTTGATTGCTGTAAGAACATATATGTATGTATTCCATAAAAATTGGGTTGCAAACTTAGCAAGGACAGTATTTTCTGAGGCAGGAGCTCTATCTGCTCCTTGGAGAGCATGCAGGAAATACCAGCAGTGTAGCACACTGAGGCACCCTCTGTGCATCGCTCACCGATGCTCCAAGCCCCTCATCCCCAGCTAGCAATTGGACTCCAGGTCTTTTACACTGACTTGACAGGCTAGACTCGTTTTTTCTTTTACTGCAAAATGCATTTAAGATGTATAGGGGAGATTTAAAATAGGAGTAGGCCACTAGTAGGTTACTAACTTTTGGGATTTAATTTTTTCCTATTTAGAGGAATTGGTTGGGTTTTAAATGTGTTGAATATTGCATAAAATCCATAAATTACTCTTTCTGTTGCCAGTATCACAGCTGTCAACCAGCAGTGGAAAGCCATTCTGCTTTCTCCTGCCTCCTCCTTCCAGTTTTTTAACATGACTCTCTCAAACTGAGGAGTCCCAAAACCTTGGTGTCCCTTGTGCCTGTGGAGTTCAGTAATTAGTATTCTTAAAGCTTGTCCTGTTTATGATCTCATTCAGCTGTGCATGATTCCTGAATACTCTCTCCAGTATAGTGTAAACTGTACGCCAGTGTGGAATAGTACGCTGCTGGAATTCAGCTGTTCTGGTGGGCAGATTAAACCTGCTGGAAGATGGACAGCATAAGTGAGTTATGTCAAATTTTTTGAGTCTCTGCTCTTTGAGGTTCCTAAACCAAAAAAAGTCGAATCCCAGATATCTTGGGGGTTTTTTAAATCTTTTTAACTGTCAGGCTTTCGTAGGTAAATATTAAAAAAATATGTCCTCAAAGATCTGTTGAAGTTATTGTGAAGGGCAGTTTTCTTCTCACACGTAACTAAGAATCATGTTTGAGAATGAAGTGTCATTCTGACTCATAGATTTTTGATTAAAAATAAAATTCTAGAGTACTTATATATATATATAGAGAGAGAGAGAGAGAGAGTGTGTGTGTGCTTTTATTCTGGATATTTAGTGCTTTAGTAATCCATAATTTTTAGGATGTACCTGTGGGCTATTTGTTTTCACAAATAAACCTATTTTTCTTAGTGTGTATTTTTAAATCTAACATGAAATCTAAAGTTGTATGTTTCCTTTGGCTTTGAGCCTACTTATAATTGTAAGTGCATTGATTTAATATGACAGCTAACCTGTCTATTGTGATAGCCCTCAAAAGAATTCCTGCTTTGTTTTACAGTTGCTTAGGAAGACAACTCTTCCCTGGAGTAATTGAGCAATACGGGGTTATTTAGGGACAATTGTAACTTCTTTAAATTTTTCCTGTACAAATGAAAGCCCATTCACTGCTTTTGATTATATGCTGGATCTGTAGGTTTTGGCTACTTAATTTGCTTGTATGTTTTGATTCTGCAGAAGTTCAAAAGACAATAAAAGTAGCCCTTTATTTTTTGGTCTGCTGAGAAAATTGGAGGAAATAGAAGATGGAACTTAAAGAAGAGTTAATTTCCTATGCATGCATTTTTGAGTTTTTGGTAACTACCCTGATTAGCATTTCTGACTAGTTTCACTGGAAAAAAATGTTTTCTAAAAAAACTTACAGGAATATTTTGTCAGTATTTCTATGTTTTATTCATGGAGAGAGAGGTATACAGGAAACAAAAAATCAGCAAATAGAACTACCTGTTGATCGTGCCTGTGTTATAAATAGAATAACATGAAAAATCTGTTATGTTGGGATTGGTGTTTGTTGTTCGGGGTCTGTCTGTTTCATTTTTATGGAATACAAATTCATTCCCATGCCATCCCTTTTGGAAGAATAATTTACAAAAAACCACCTCCTCAAAACTGCCAACAAACAAATCCTACCCTCCCAAACTCCAAAGGCAAATGATACAACTTATTTTCTGGTCTTATTCCATGTTTAGCTGACCAAGCTAAGAATTATTGTATCTAGGGCAAGTTGTTTCTGATTATTCATTATGCAACTAGATAAAGGTTTGCAATGACAACCTTAAGAGAGAGCTCAGCTATGCCATGTGTTTTTATGTTGTACCTAATCTGGTGTAACTGTGTTCCCAATTCAAGGGTGGTCACAGATTCGTCCCCTATACCTGTGCATTTCTTCTTGCATCAAATCAAATGATCATAAGACCACGGGTCAGTCAGCTGATCCCAGGGCAATTGTTGTACTGGGGGGGGGGAGAAAATCACTTTGGGGCTTGGTCATCTTTCTCATCTTGCAAACATGCACTCTTTAGTTTTGTTGCATGGTTTTTGGAGAACAGTCAGAAGTCTTTTTCTCAACAGCAGTGCTTGCATCAGTTAGTCTAAGTCATGGCAGTATATAAAGTGGCCATTTGGTTCAGTTTTCCATGTTCTGTAAACACTATAGGATTGGCATGCGAGCTCAGAGCTTCTTACAGCTTGAATACATGAGGATGTTCTAAAAATGGGAATACCCAATAGAATTCTACCTGCCACTAATCCTGAGTGATGGTGTTCAGTGCGATTTGAGGGGACGGAATGTTACAGAAGATGTAGACTAGCATAGAAAGTAATGTGATCTGCCAGAATACAGACCTTACTCTTCCCCCCACCCGCACACCCGTGCATTCTAGCCAATTCAAGTACCTTCCTTTTCAAATTATGATCACCCAGAATAGAGTTAAGGTCACTGTAAGGCTGGCAGTGTAAAATACTCAATAGGAAATGAAATGGCGCATAGCCATGAAACAGCAAAAATCTGTCAGACATAATGTAGAGGTTTTTGATAATGGTGTTTGAGGAAGGAAACTTCCTGACAAAATGAGCTGACTTGCACTTTTGATTACAGTTTGTTTTGTTCTTTGTTTGAAAGTGAGGTTGCATGCAACTGAGGGAAGAAATAAAGATATTTCAATAATTTGCTTATTGACTTGCTGTCTTTAATGTGTGATCTTCATGTTTATAGTGTGTCCACATGTGGAAATTAATTGAAGCAGCTCATGTGAAGCTTAAATTAAGAACATGTAGAATATTTTTTCTTATGATGAAGTCTCTAAGTCTCTCCTCACTAAAAGATTATTCTTTAATATTCCGGTTAACTTAAGCATTGACTTAGGAAAATGTCTAGTACTTGGTGTCTTTCCCTTTCAAAGTACACAAATCCTAATCTTAAAAAAAAAAAGAAATTTGATAGCCATTTTACATTTCATTTTATTATATATTAGTGCACTGAGTCTAATATTTTTTCTATCCTTTCTGCTATCTGATCAATCAGGAATTTGTTCTTGACGTAGAAAATTCTGTGAAGAAGCATATGAGATGTTTCCTTGTGCTCTTTTTTTAGTGAAATTACAAGAACAGTGGAGATTTCTGGGGAAGGTGGACCCTTGGGAATACATGTAGTGCCCTTTTTTTCATCTTTGAGTGGAAGGTAAGCTATTTTCTGCATTGCTCAAGAAGTACATTAATGAAAGGATTCAGTTGTGGTTCTCTTAAAAGACAATTTAACCATAAGGAAAAGAAATGCTTAAAAGAAAATTGGTACTTGAGTCTATGACACTGCCTTCTATTACCAAAATATTTGCTAGTCTAAGTTACTTATAAGATGTTACCAACCCCTTTGTTCATATATGCCCTTTTAATTACCTCTGGTTTTGTTCTCTGAAGGGTAAACTAGACTTTGTGTAGAGTAATGTGATACTGAAGGTATAGGGACTAGGGGGTTGGTTGTTTTGTGTTGGGTTGCTTTTGTGGGTGTGGGGTTTGTTTGTTGTTGCGGGTGTGGTTTTTTGTTTGGGTTTATTGTTTTGGTTGTTTTTTCTTCCAGTTGGATTTCTCTTCGTAGGCCCTTCTTTAGAGACGTGTCAGACAAGAAAAGTAAAAAAAATTGCTTGCCTGGTGATGCCTCATATTTTTTCAAGCCACCTTTCAGATTTGCTTGTATAGCATTTATAAAAATGTGCACTATACCATGAACTTTTCTTTGTCACAATGCAATTACTTTAATTATAAATGATTTAACATAGTCCCTTGAGATCACAAAAGCCTATTATAGCAGCATGCTCATATTGATGTGCTGTAGTTAAGACTGTGTCAGCATTTTCATTACAACTGTTTTTCCAAGCTATGTAACTCAGGTGTTAAAAATAAATAAAAATTTAAAGAATTCTAGGTTGAAATTTGACATATAGAGGCTTAGGAGGGTAGTTGATACAACACTGGCAGCCCTGAATTAAAGGATGGGAAATTGTCAGTGCCATAAGTGAGACTATAGTAAAATGTCTGCCTGTAACAGAAAGGTAATTATTGCAAAAGTAAAAATTGTATAGTTCTTACATGTTTCTTTGTCAACTTTCATGTAGGACAGAGAACGTGAAGGTTTAAATTGCCTTGTAAAAGTCTGTGTGAGTAAACGTTTTCTCAGCAAGATCTGAGTTTGTAAGTGGACCCAAATTCATTCAGAATGTTTTATTTGCCAAAAGGGAAAATAGATGTCCACCTGCTGCCTGGAAAAATGTCGCCACTGTCTCAAGAAAGTTGGTCTTTGATGGGAAATGTAGGAGGTCTGAGTTGTGTCCTTGGCTTTACAGGCTGCCTGTTTGTCTTGAGAAAGGCACTTGTATTTGTTACCCCATCAAGAAATGCAGACAATGGTTCTTTGTTATAGGCATGCCATAAAGGTTGTAGTGTGTACACTGTATTTCAAGATCATTAGGTAAAAAAGTGATGAAATTGCAGGCTATTAAAATGAGTCATTTTTGTAACTGTAATACAGTTCTGTATTGAAGTATCGCTGTTTTGGATGCAGCTTTTAAAGGCTTCCATGAAGAAAAAGTGGAGTTTCTTCATCTACGTTGCATGCACGTTAATATGTCATTATTTGCAAATGCTTTTGGGGATCCCTCAGAGAAAAGAGTTTCTTGACAGATGGACTACTTGTTTAGACAGTTGTCTTGACATTTTAATGACCATTGGCAGAACCATACTGATACCTTTGTAAAAGCACTAGAGTGACTTAAATCGCTTGTCCCTTTTATTTAATCAAGCCTTAGACTAATGTATAAATTTTAACTCATCATAACGTGAGAAAGTACAGAAGAGCATCTTCTGTTTCTGTTAATGCCAAGGTACAATTTATGCAGGCATGCTGACCATGACTAACATGGTCTGGTAGTTCAATTGTAAAGTTATCTTCGAATAAGGTAATGCTGGTTTTAGTCTAGTGCTGCTGCAAAGCAAAATTTTTCTAGAGGTAGTTAAAACATTGCATTAATTTACAAAATCTTAGTTTATACAGGGATAACAAAACTAATGGAAATAATTTCCCCCCTTTCTTTTGCACTTAGATATCACTAAAAAAGGAAATTTAAAATTTAATAGTGCATTAAAATAATGCAAAAATTGAGGCTGTGGAAAAAAGTAATGGGGGAATGAATTTAAGCTGCCACAGTACATGTAACTCAAGCCACTTATTCAGGTACTACAGCACAGACGATGAGTTTCAGACATGTGGGCAATCCTATTGCATTATATGGATGCAGCATCTAAACACAACAGGATTAGTGAAGATCACGGCCACTGATTTGTAATTTCTTTTATTTCTCCACTTCTATTGGTTTGCATCGTAATGTAATTATATTTCATTAGTTCTTAGTGTTTAGGTTTTTAATTGCCACTAGTTGGATGTTTGTCATCAGTAGGGCAGTGGCCCCCTCACCACCACTGCCCCTTTGAATGCTTTAGTGAAGGGTAACACAGCTTGCAAAAGAATTTTTATGTGATAGATTGAATTGGGTTTTTTTCTGAGAGATGTTCTGAAGAAGTAATATTCAATAAGAACCAAGTTTTCACTTTAAGTACATTGATATGACAAATATAAAATTTTAAATCTTCTTATACAGTAAATCTAAAATTAGATGCATGGTGAATATAGTGTCATTTTTAAATAGCTAATGGCGTGCTGTGAATCTGTTGAATGGACTTAAATATGAGGGGCAGTCATGAATCTGAGAAAAAAATACAAGACTTCTGTTTTGTGATTGGAGTGCTGACATGTTGGAAATTGCACATTAATATTTTATGGAGTATAACCAATAGAAAATGGTCTCTAAAGGTCATCTGTCTTTGATGCTGATGCGGTATGGAAATTTAGTGGTTAAAACTCGATTATAAAAGGTCTTCACAAACATGCAGTTGTCAGGTTTTTTGGACATTGTACTGGTATCATTGGATATATCTATGTTGAATTGTAGTCTGCAATACAGAGATGCTCCAGGTAGGTCAGAAATAGCCTAGTGCTCCCAGCAGAGTTAGCCACGCTGGGATGTTGCATCACTCACATTTGTTCACTTGATGCATTATCAGAAATTTCTGTGCTGCACCTCAGTTTTCAATTTGCACATAACCTGGTAATAAACAACTTATGTTTCAGAGACTTTTCAAACATAGAAATGGTGGTTATTTTTTATCTTATGCTAATGCCTGTTAGTTTATTATAGTCAATTTAGAAAATTACTTTTAATCTGTTTGTGCTTTTCTTTGGAGCAATGTAATCTTACTTAGTGGCAGATAAATATCGCATAAGCTACATTCAAATTTTTAACTGGATGGGGAGATTTAGGTGTTTTTCTCTGTTTCTCCAAGCGTGACCTACAGGACTTCCTGAAGTTGTAGCAAGTAGTATAGCATTAGTATCCAGCAGTTTTTCTTGGTGTTTCTTGCAATCCTCTCCCTGTTAGTGAGCTGCAAATCCTTTCTCTAGGTTAAGCACTTCATAATGGTCTACTCTATCTTATCTCATACACAGTAGAGATTACTATCTATTTTTAGTTGTGATAAATTAATACCAGAAGAGTAAAGGATAGCTTTCACTTTTTTTTTTTCCTTTTCGTTTTAGGATGCTGGGACTCTTCATCCGTGGTATCGAAGAAAACAGCAGATCTAGGCGTGATGGGCTTTTCCATGAAAATGAATGCATTGTGAAGATTAACCACGTGGACCTTGCAGATAAAACCTTTGCACAGTAAGTGCTGCTTTACTTCTACTTTTAACTATCCAGCATTTTATACAATGCTGTGTTTATTAAGTGATCAATGCAAAGGGATTAATACTTAAGCTAAAATGCCTGTAAAATTGATACCTGGCAGAAACTTTGTAATTTTCTATTGCGAGGGGACGTCATCAATACTTCTAAATATATGAAGGGCAAATGTGAAGAGGATGGGGCCAGACTCTTTTCAGTGGTGCCCAGCGACACAACAAGGGACAACGGGCACAAACCGGAACACAGGAAGTTCCATCTGAATATGAGGAAAAACTGCTTCACTTTGTTTCACCGCATTGGAACAGGCTGCCCAGAGAAGTTGTGGAGTCTCCTTCTCTGGAGATATTCAAAACCTACCTGGAGGTGATCTTGTGCAACCTGCTCTAAGTGATCCTGCTCTAGCAGGGAGGTTGGACTAGATGATCTCCAGAGGTCCCTTCCAAATCCTACCAATCTGTGATTCTTTCTGAAACCACCAAATAAGGTAAAAATTGAGAGGAATCTTCTTGTAGTCTCAATGAACTTATTGTGCTTATTTATTTAAATTAGCTTTAAGTTTTTTAATAGTTACTTTCCCTTTTTAATTCTTCTGTTATTTTTTCCATATTTTCTTTGTAATTTGTTCCTCATAAGACCTTCAGAATGAGTCAGCATTGCAGCATGTTTTTGATGTTCTTTTGCAAATGAAATAAGTTTATTTTTTTGGTGCTGCAGCTTTGTAAGCATTTAATTTTTTAAAAATACTAGTACTTTCAAACTATGATTAGTTGAGCTAAATGGTAAGTCTCACCTCATGACTTCTACTAAAAATCTGTTGACATTTATTATCTATCTCAAATTACTTTAACAGGTTGCTTTGATCAGCTGTGAATTAATGTGACATTGTTGCACAAAAGAATAGCCTCTCAAATTTCACAGATACTTCCTGTAATAATTAAATAGTAATTTGTTTTTACTTTTAATCCATATGTTTAGACAGCTGAGTGATTGTTTATAATATAACAAAAACCTATTGAGATCTCAAAGGAGTTGAGGCTTAACTTTCTAAACAGTAAGCCAAATGTTCAAGGTTTCTAGACTAAAATCAAATAAGTAATTTCACTGTTAGGGATAAATATTTGCAAAATAGATTTTCATAAAATGAGTGCAGTTCTGTAGTAGGTACTACCTTGTTTCTGAGGTTGTGCTTTTTGCTTTCTGATAGGTTTTTGAGTTACTGTTTTCTGAATATTTGGTGATAAATGTATGCTGATGTGATATAGTACATGCCATTCTCTTCCACCCATGGAAAGTTCCTGCATGAGATATCTTTATCAGAACCATAAGTGATGATATCATATTAAAATATTTGTTGCCTCACCTGTGGATTTTGTAATGAAGATGTATCCTTCCCAAATGACATTTGGTATGAATAAAACACTCTCTTTTCAAAATTGTATGTGAAGTTTTCTTTACAAATTTGACTCCTTTGTGTTCTCTTCATTATGTAACTAGATCTCCGAAGGCTTTAAGCCCGAGTGGAGGACTCAGAATATTTTTCTGTAAGGTTACTAGATTTTGGGACAATTAGAAATATTGCAGTAAACTTTGCAGCTCTCCATCAGGCTTCCCTTCAAAATGAGAAATGCAGGACACTTTGCTTTCTCCAAGTTTGTGTACAGTTTTGGGAGTTGGAAGGGATACAAAGGCAATTGTTGAGAGAGGCTAGTCTTGTTAGATGATCTCTCTGTCATTGGGCGAGTCAAAGAGAGAAGTGACTACAAGGTGATTCAGAGCAGAGCCTAATTTAGCTGGTCTAATTCACCTTATGTTACAATAACAAGTAATGTGGTTGCAGTGGCATTGGATCCAAGGAGAAACACTGTGGGCAGCGAGGACTCAACATCCATGTGGGGACTGGGAGGGGGGGGGAGTATTTTGGACAAGCTCTAGTCTACCCTGATGTCCTATTATGTTGTTCTTCTGAATTGCCTTCCAGAATAGCTATCTGCATCATCTCTCTCCCCTGGCTGTTGAGAATGGCAAAAGAAAGGAGCTTTCTGTGTTGAAACTTATCTCAGTGAATATGCCTTTTAGTTTTCATCTGGCATGACATAACTATACTAACCTGACAGAAGTCCAAGTTACAGAAATGCAGTAATTGTAATGGACGTGACAAAGTATTGTCCTAATGACTGTTGACCCAGAAATAGTCACCAAATTTTCCTTTGAGAAGAAAATCTGCTTGCTGGTTTCAAATTGACATGTCTTCCTAACCCTTGTAAAGGGTTTTAACACTTAGCAGAGACTGTTACATACTGTCTCTTTCCATTTTCAGCAGAGATTTTCTGTATTGCTCCTGATGATTGCTGCTTCTGCAGCTTTAATAGCAGCAGCCTACTTTCTGTGTTCCTATGTTTATAATAGTTTTATATATTGAGACTGTTGGTCTGCTTTTTCATTTGCTGTTAATCTATTCAATTACATTCTGTTGTGTTGCAGAGTTTCTAGCACTCTTTTAATTGACTTGCTTATTTTTTTTAATGTATATTTGGGGTCTCAAGAAATGTGAATTTCTCCACCCATTATTTTTCCTCTTTGAAGCGCAGCCAGTTATTTTGCCCCTGAAGACTGCATTTAGGTTTTCCCACCGGATATCTTGTTATTTCCACTTTTTTTTGTTTGAAGGAGAATCCTGTATTTTCTCTTCCATGTATTTAAAATACTCATCTCCTGAAACTGAGTTATTAAATTACCTTGTAACACATGACCAAGTGGCTACTTGCAAGGATGAAGACAAGGTGTGAAAGAAACCTGCTTAAGACTTTACATGCTGGGAGCATGCCATGGTTTCTACAGTCAGGGTGAGCTCTGTCCTTGAAAACCTTCACAGGCTATAGGTGAGCAGGTAACCTATAACCCCTGCAGATATGCTGGGACAGTGCTGTTCTGAAACCTAACCCTTGAGGGTGGTGCTGGAAGAATACCTTCCCACAATGCTCTCCCTGCTACCTTTCTTTTCCAAGTTTGAGATTTCTCTTCTGGCAGTGTCTCCTGTCAATGAATGTGGTTATTCTGACTCTTGGTGCACGTACACTCAGTGTAGCCAGGATAGTTCTTTCCCACAGCAGTATCCATTGGGACTGCCCCCTGACTTCAGTGGCTTCATGCTGTAAAAAACCCTCTTGAAACAGCCCCTCCCTTCCCCTACCTGCAGCTGCAAGGTGGAGGTACTGTGCAACTCTGGTCTGGGAAATCAGTAGGTTTGTATTCAAGATGTTATAGTTTGCAGTGGCTTCCTTTCTGTATCGCTGTAAAAAAACCTGTTTATTTCGGAAGTACTTTCAACATTGACTCCTGTTGCATACCTGAGTGTAAATCCAAAGCGAGGACTTCAGTGAAATGTTGACTTTGCTTGACTGACAAACACGCTACTGAAATGTAGGAGATACGTAAATTGTTCTCAAAAGGGCCCCGTGATTTATTTAAAAATTGATGTGGCCATTATTGCTCCTCTTGACCTGACTCTGCTAAGCAGAAGTTCTTGATTTTTTGTTCTCAAAATGTGCTTCAGCTACTACTTCTGTTTGTACTTAAGTTGTACTTAGTTCTGCAGTATGGAAGAAAATCAGTCGATTTCATCAGAAGAGGAGAGGAAAGCATATGTCAAGCATAGAGAGAAGTCTATGGCTGATTCAAAATCCAGGGAAAGCTGTACGAACAGTTGCTTTGGCTGACTTGTCTTAATTGCCTGCAATTCATGGAAACCTGAACACACTGTATTCTTACCGTGTTAATCAGTTCAAGGGGAGCAGTTTCACTCAGTGCTGTAATACAGTTTCTGGTGTTGCAATTGAGCACATCTCTGAAGACACTGATTAAATAAAGTCCACATATCCAGCTTAGAGGTCACTGCTTGAAAGATGTGAGTAGTATCTGCCTATTAATTTATCCATTTAGTAGAAACACAGAAATAGTTACAACTTTTGCAGTCACCAGAATTATATATCCCATACCATCATTCTTTTTCTGTTGCACCGTTTGCAGTCACAATATTTTTTCTGAAGATGTCTGTACATCCCATACCCTCATCCTTTTTTATTGGTGTGGAACCAGCCAGCAGTTGCATTAGGGATGACAAAGGAATCTGAGGGGCAGTTAGGCTGTACTCAAAAAAACCAAAAATGGAGTCTTGAGCTTGTTCATCATAGTAGATGTATCCACCAGAGCAATTGATCATAAGTGCTCAGTGTATATGCCAACAAGAAAACATAATGGACAAACACTTCAAAAAAGTAGCAAGCTGTAACTTCAGGAGTCTTTTGATAAGCTTTTGCCATCAAAACTTTTCTTCCTGATGTGCTGCATGAGAAATTGTGTTCATTAGTTTATTCTGGCTAATATGTTTTCATAGCAGCCTAGGAATCCTGACAGATGTGCTATTCTGCCTTGAAATGTATGGAAATGTTGTAGTTTAGAAGTTTTATTTCATGTGTACTTTTTAGAAAAGAGACCCTGTAGATGTGAAGGTAAGGTTATTTCTTCACATTTAAGATGAATTTTTGTTTTATTCTCTGTAAACAACTTCAAACTTTGCCAAAATTTTCTGGTTTGTGATGTGAATTTTACACTTTTTTTTCTTTTTTAAAGGGCTCAGGACATCTTCCGTCAGGCAATGAAACTTCAAAGTGTCATCTTGGAAGTCCTTCCTCCATATAATCGAGAACAATATGAGAAGTCTGCTATTGCTCCCCTTTGTTTTCTGGATAACGAAGAAGGAGTTGCAAAAACAAAGATTCCACCTCCTGTTCATCCAAAACCTGCTCTGAAAACAATTAATCTTTCTGGAGCAAGCAGCTTGGAGTCAGGTGTACAGACAACACTACAACAAGCTAAAAGCCCCAACCTCCCACGTCTGGGTAGAAAGTCGTCTTCTCCCTCACTGTCCCCTCTTATGGGCTTTGGCAATAAAAAAAATGCAAAGAAAATAAAGATAGACCTGAAAAAAGGTAAATCTTTGGAGAGGATATGATTAATTCTGTATCATGTTCTCTATATTGATACCTTAACTTTAAACTAAACTAGTGACATTAAAAGTACAAGCAAGTTATTGACAGTTTAAAAGTTCCAAAACTTCAAAAAAGTAAAAGAATATTTCAAAAGGTAAAGGAATGTGAACAGTAATGTTCTCAACAGTCAGCTTTCTCATAAATTTTTGATGCATGTTATCCAGACTTACTGATTTTTAAAACATCCCAAGTCATGATTGTGGAAGGTATTTCATTAGCAACATGTGATATTACGAGATGGTTCAGCCTGTTCACAAACCCGGAATACAAAAATTCAACTACCTGCTGGTAACCTTTATTATTTTTATTCATATCTGCTAATTGACCAGCACTGTTATTGACATTCTTTTAAAAATCTATTCAAATCTTTTTCGTGTTATCCAGGAGGTTGACTGCAGATTTACCTGCCTTTCCCTTTTTTATTTTCTACAAACCTTTTCTTCCATCTGTAGTTATTTGGCTATCAGCAGGCTGATTTTGTGTGTGTATCTTTAATTGCTTCTCCATGCAGATGTCTGTCTTTGCATGGAGTAACAGGTTTATGCACATGTAGTAAAATGTGCTTAAGCAGATCCTAATTAGCACTTATATTTTCTGTTTAATTTGTCTTTGATTTGGCTGAGAGTTAAATTTGATGCTAGGAGTGGCCCTTTAAAAAAATCTCTCTGTAACTTTATTCTTTAAACACAAGAAGAATGTAATCAAGCTATTGTTTCTTAATTTTTGTTATTTCTTAAATCACTCATTTTTACTTCTGAACTCTTCGACTTTGCATTAACAAAACCGGCTTCAGAATTTTCCCCATTTTAGATGTAAAGCTTTTGATTTTGAAGTAGTAATTTGGATTTTTAGAAATGATAGGAATGTGATAGTGACATGGTATCTCTGAAAAATATCACGTGGGTAGCAATCCTGCTCAGTCAAAAAAAATGCATGGACCCTGCTATTCCTAGGTGATTTTAATGGCTTATAAACAATACCTGCTAATACTGATTTTACTCCCTAATTATATGTTAAAACATTTATCTATTAACACTTGAGGCTGTTTATTTCCAAGCAGCAATCAACTTTGCGAATGGAAGCTTAGTATTTGTCCTTTCTTAAAATCATGTAGTCAGCAATTCTTGCATTCAAATTGTGACTTTTTCTACTTTTCCACCAGGTTTCAGTAAAACCTGCTAAATTCTCTTTATATGCTCATAAGTAAACAATTCTGATTGCTCTAATTTGTTTCAGAGACTATTAACATTAATGTGAAGGCTGATACTAAAACCACCTAGAGAAAAGGTAAACGCTTGAAAATGAGAGTTCTTGCTTGTTTTGTATTATTGTGGGTTATCCAAAAGTATTTCCATCTGTAGCTGTTGCAGGAGGATTTGAGCTTGTGTTGTGACATTGACAGAATTCTTCTCTGACCACAAAGAAGATAGGCTTGTGTTTACAGCTTTTTGTTTGTTTTTGGTTTTGGTTTTTTTTTTTTTAAAGAGCTAACCTGAATGAGTGTCTGTGATATGCTACTGACATTGTTTACTTTTAAGGATCACCATTTGCTTGTTGAAATTTATGTCGGGAGTTCTTTATCTGACCTTCTAGGTCCAGAAGGACTTGGTTTCACTGTGGTTACCAGAGACTCTTCGGTACATGGTCCTGGTCCAATTTTTGTGAAGAATATTTTACCAAAAGGTGCAGCAGTAAAAGATGGTCGTTTGCAGTCAGGAGACAGAATCCTGGAGGTATGAATAAATATCCATTGTGTTTGCATTGCTGAGTATTGATTGCTGATACATACTACTGATGTATGGAATTAAAATTCTCAACCTTGATTAAAAAAAGGTCTCATGGCTTTTGTACTGTTTGTCAACAAGTATTTTACACTGCAATTTGGAAAAATGTGCTTTTCACAAGGGTCTATGGGATGTTTGAACATCTTGGTTCTGAAAGGACATAAATGTATCAGTTTAGAAACAAACCATGTCTTGCCTCTTACAGCCATGTCCAAAAATCTCTGATTAATCGTGAGGTGTTGAAGTGCTCATTTTAAGGCAATTTTGCTCAAATCTATCTGTTCAAAATTTTCAGATATCTTCTGACTTACAATCTCATTATCTAATGGGTTATTTCTACTTACAAACCTCAAAAAGCTGTTAAGGTAAACAGTTTTAATAATACTTAGATCTTGTTTTTGTACTTTTCATCTTCAAAGTGCTTTCCAAACTAATTAAGCCTCACAAACCCCCTGCAAGGTGGGTAAGTATTACAGACCTGCTTTAACAGATGGTGAAAATGAGGGGAAAAAAGGTTAAGTGACTTGTGCGGGGGCAGAGGGGGGGAGAACAGTGTGAGAGTTGCTAATTCTTCTTTGCTCTCAGTCACTGACATCTGTGTTTAAGTGAGGGGAAAATGACAAAAGACAGTCATACTCACAGATATGACATCCTCTGTTCTTTTGTGTCTGGTAGGTGAATGGACGGGACATCACTGGCAGGACCCAGGAAGAACTCGTAGCCATGCTGAGGAGCACAAAGCAAGGGGAAACTGTCTGTCTGATTGTGGCTCGTCAGGAGGAGGCCTTTCTACCTCGAGAGCTGGTAAACTTGTTAGTTTGTCCTGAAAAGTGATATTGAAACAATTCTATGTTTTAAAACTAGCCCAAGAAATATAAATGAACTGTTGTTGTCTGAGAAAGCCAGTGACAAGTAACTGTATAAGGCTTGTGTTTGAAAAATATTTATACTTACATTTGATTTTGATGGATATTTGTCTACTTTAGATGCAATTCCATGCAATCTGATCTTTTCATCCCAAAAGTGACATCATAAGCATAACTCACAGGGGAATATTGTAAATTAATCTTCTAACTGTGAGGACAAGCATGACTGAAAATGGATTATTGTCTTTCAGAAAAGCAACAAACTTAAAACCAGAAGTTTGAAGTGCGTGTAGTGAGTCCTGCAGCTTATCAGTAACAAACTAGTGAGGGTGGCTGCCCCCAAGGAGATGTATCTGCTAAGCCAGGTGCCAAACTGCAGGAGTGGTGAAGGATAGAATTCCATTGCACTCCTCACAAATTTTGGAACCAAGGTTTTCCTTGGCTGCTAGTCTTTGACATAATAGCCTCTTGCATGTCTGACTTCATACTATCTCAAGTGCTTAATTTTCACTTTTTTTTTTTTTTTTTTAAATGCTGGCATGGAACTGTGTTCTCTTTTTCTCTCGCATACAGGAGGACTACATCAGTGTAAAAGTGCTATCTGATACATACTTGTTTCCCCTCAAAGAAGGTCATCTCTTTGGTTGCCTCTTCCTTATCTTGATTGATGGTTATACTTGACCTTTCATTAAGAAGTTCTTAGGATAAAGGAAGGACAGCATTTCCTGCTTTTGTCTCATTTTATCTCCTTTGAAGAACACAAACCTACTTCATCCTTTTCTTAAGATGCTGCCTTATTGCTTTTCCTTTTGCTTTAGACTGTTAGCAGGAACTTCTGCAGAGATCCTCCATTGTTTCCTCACAAAACACTGCTAACAGTTTTGCTCTTGTTTCTTTGTTACCAGTTGGACCTTGTTGAGGTGAGGGTGTCTGTTGCCTGTCCTAGGATAAGAAGTTTGGGGAGAGTGCAGATTCTCTCACGTGCACCTTTCCTCTTGTGCCGCTGGTGCCCACTTTTTCCTGTAGTAGAGCAATTGTGAAGTGTCCTAATGAAACTATTTTTGTTTTCATTTTCCTTTTTTTTAATTGAGTAATCTTTAAGGAGGATAATGGTACAATATTTTCAGCCCTGCAACTGGGCGTCTGTTATCAGTGATTCCCAAAGCATCAAAACTGGTCATTGTAATGCTCTGTTTAGTAAGCCTTGAGCTGTAGGGTCAGTGTGTGTGGACTGGAGGGAAATTTCTGATTCTGAAAGTACTGAATTACCTATTATATTTAGGATTTCTTCCACCATCTCTTCTAAGTAAGAGTTTATTTTTTGAAAAGGCTACCTATCAACAGTTTTTTCTTGTGGGTTTTTTAAGTAATAAAACACATTCCTTGGAAAATGTACTTTTTAAAAAAGTGTGTATTCTTTTCTCTCTCCTGTTCTCACAATATTATACATTATTGTTTATTGTCACAGTACAAATTCTCTTGGAAATCACTGTAACAGTGTGGGGGTATAAAAGGGTAGAAGAATCTGAAAGCTATTTATAATTTTTACCTGCCACAATTGCCTGCTATTAAATTCTAGCCCCAACAGCAAGGATTAACTACCTTTCAAAAGGTGACTTACTTATGACTGGCATGATTGAAATCCAGAAAGTAGCCACATTTATCCTGCTGGCTTGACCTTCGTTTAGATTGCTTTCTCTGTGAAAGAATGATATACAAGTGATGGTGCTCACTCTAACAGTGATGATATGTGAATTCTAATACTGTTCTGTGTTTCTTGTTATCCCAATCAAGTACAATATAATACAAATGTGAGTTACTGAAATACATGAGATAATTTTATGGAACCAGCCCTTCTAAATTAAAAAGCCTTTCAGTGACATCTGTTTGCTAGCTCACAGCAAAAGTGTGGGTTACTATACCACTAAGCTACCAGATGTTGACACTAACATGATGCTTGTTAGAATTCATGAGCTGTCTGAGAATAGTGTCAGCAAAGATTAAAAAAAAAATAAATTGGTTTAGCTTTTTTGTTTGTTTTTAGCTTTAGCCATGACATTACATTGGACTAATCCTCTGCTACCTTAAAAGTTACAGTGCTGTTTTGATCAAAGAGGACAAAAAACCCAGCGCTTTTAAAATGTTTGGTTTTGGAAGGAAAGGCAGTGGATAATGCAATATTTTTCAAGGACAGCTGTAACTGAATGCTCTGTGTAATGTGCATGCAGAGTTTACCTAAATACTTGGGGTTTTTGTTAATGCCTGGCAATAATAAGGTAATTGCTTTGTATCAGACTCGTTCTTAATTTGAGCAGTTCTCCAGGGATCATAATTTGAGGAGCTGTTTTCTTTAGATTCCCTGTTACCTGTTGAAAGAAAAAGGAGGAGGACAGCCTAGTAAACATACCCACTCCCCCACAGCTTCCTGTGGCAAAGATGCCTCTGGGACTTGGACCCACTAGAGACCATACACAAAACCACTTTTAAGCATGTCGCTCCACTAGAACTGGGATCCTACATGGATTTCAGAAAGCATTTGATAGCTGCATGGGTCACAAAGCAAATAATGTAACAAAGTAACAGCAGGTGGCATTTGGTTGCCTGGGTCTGTAATACTATAATTTGACTTTACCTTGTAACAAAGCTATGTTTTGGAGAAAGCTTGGTCTCATGAATATTTTCTCTTCAGTAAGCTAGATGGGGATTTTTGTACTGTGATCTATGCTGATGAATTGCTGGCAAGCAGAAAAATATATTCAGAGTAGCAAACCTTTACCACGTCAGCCAAAGAGATGTGATATGGGTGATGAATCAGTGTTGCAAACAGGCTTTATTAAATTATAGGGAATTGGGGCTTCAGTTACACTAGCCCATGCAACACCTGAGTTGTACAGCTACATCATTTGCACGTAATAAGGGAATAAATTGGAAAACACAATCTTTGTAGTGTTAGGAGAATCTAATGAGATTTTTTGGTTTTAAGCAGATTGGTGAAGTAAAACTTGGACCAACCACAGGCTGTCCTTTTTATCTGGTTAGCCAAATGTTCCCAGTAATTCATGCCAGCTGTTGACAATGTAACAGCTGAGTAAGGAGCTAATTCCAAAACTCAGGGGAAGATCTTGATTCACTTAGTTACCACAGTCTACAGAGAGCCTGGTGATTAGTGCATTCTTTAAGGTGCATTTGAGTTTTAAACTGTGTAACACTGATTGTTTTCTAAGAGATGGTGAATATTACAGAGAGAAACTGGCTTAACTGAACGGGTTTTGATTTTCCAGCTCTTACCAAAGTAAATGGAATACACATGAAATGGTGGCTATAGTTTTATTGTGTTTTGAAAACACAAGGTTTTGGTCATGTGTATTTGCTACATCTTGCTTTTTTCCCCGGAAAAATGTGTGATCTGAAGGTGCCATTTATTTTAATAGTGATATAAAGATCACTTACTACCCCTTCTCTTTCTTTATCCCCACATTGGTAAAACAAGCAAAGGTACTTGAATGAGAACAGCTCTGGCGTAATCCATTCTGCACCATGACCCTATGCAATTCTTTATTCTTGTTATTTTTCATTAGCCTTCAGGGTAGTGGATATGATGCATATAAGCAGAGGAGTGTTCTGCAATTGCTAGAAATAATATAGCACTGAAAATATTTCAATGCATTTTTCTTTGTTAGAGCACATACATAGTGTAAGTTTTGCATATACTTCATTTTTTGTTTTAAAGATGGCTTTGGCTTACCAGTTTCAACTATAATCACTATTTATATGGTTTCTTGGCATATTCACTGATCCCTGAAGAATGGAGGAGGGAACGGAACAAACCAACATTTTTACAACAATAACTAAAAGAACGACAATTTATGTAGTGTAGCAGTTGATCTTTAGCTAAGTTTTTTTTTTTTTTTAACATGTACTACATAGGATAGAAGGAAGCAGGATGAGACACAAGTTCAATTAAGCAATTTTAGCTTACCATGTGATTAACTCTTCTGTTTCAGTCTTCCCCTAGTTAATTCCTTTCACTACCTTGAACTTCAGTGCCTATGGAGAACTTCTTGTTTGCCTGAAGTGTTTTCCTTTTTGTTTTTAATATTCAAACCTTAATTTCTATTACTTCCTTTTAATTGTTTCTTGCTTTTTTATGTGCAGGAAATAATAGATGAAATTTCAGCCTAGACTTAACCATTTTTGAACCTATTTTTGTAGGTCAAACTAGTGATTCTAGTACTCAGCCAGAAATGGTTAAATAATTTCTATCACAGAATGATTCCAGCAAGTACCAATTCTCTGTTGTGGTATCTCTATTCAAAGGGAGAAGAGTCTGATAGGGGGAAAAAAGTAGTCAATATATATATTGGATTTTAATAACATATACAAGATACAGTTCTTGAATTGTTCTGCATAGTGGAGAGAAGGATGTTGTGAATACACATGTCGCTTTTCATCTTGAATAACTTTATAAACAATGTAGATTTTTAAAAGTCCTGTTTTTTTCCAAGAACTTTTGAAAGAAAGTATTTAATTTGTGGCCTGTAGATTCACTTTATCTAGAATGGTTATGAAATGAGTGTAGGTTGTGTCTACACAAATGTATCCTTTCAGAGTGAAAACATTAGCCCCTCAAAGGTTTTCAGCTTTCATTATGTATTTCAGAACATGGTTACTAGTTCATTATAGCTTAGAGTGCTGGAAACTATGCACTGAGCTTTGTTAATTAGTTACTGTGCTCATTAGAAAAGTCAGTAAGAGATGACAGTTTTTCCTGTCCCAGTGAACAGAAAGTGTGGCAAAAAGTATCCCTTTATTTGTCCTGGCTTTTGGTGGGATTCCCTAACTTACCGAAGGGGAATAAATTGCTTGAGTAATTTATGTATCTTAAAAAGTGGTTGGTGTTTTAATTTGCACTAGATCAAACAATTTTGCAATGGCAGA